ATAATCATGTAAATAAAACATCAAAACTTAGTGGTATAATGCAGGTATGAAAACCATGTTTAGGCGGAAATTTACAGATCTAGGAAGTTAGTAGAAAAATCTACTAACTAATCATACTGAAGGTGAGAAATTAACAGCTTACACCAAAAGAAAAATGAAATAAAAATTATTATAGAAATTAACTAACTAGACAGTAAATCTACAATGTGGGTCCTACAGTTATTTTAAACAAAAGACCTAAAATTCAGAAATGCCTAAAAAGACAAATTAAGAAGGTAAAGGTATAAATAATGAAATTCAAGAACAAAAAAGGAGACATAATTATATACTATAACATTAGAATCATGATAATACTATTAATAACTATTTATGCCAATACATTTGAAACACAGATGAAAAGAATAAGTCTTTGAAATGTAACTTTTACAGCTGCCTCTCAAGTCATTAAATACAAATTTTTAAAATCTGTAAAAATCTGTAAAAAATCATCCTACTCAATCATGAACAAATGTTGAAAGTCTTTAGAGAACTGTACAAGAAACTCCAGCCTATGAAGAAAGGCAAAAACATACATTAAAATATAAAAACCAGAAAGGAAATAAAACTGTCAATATTATTAGATGACATGGTTGTCTATGCAAAAAATACAAAGAACCTATAAATAAATTACTAGAATTCAGTTCTTAAGCTAACCTTTCTGAATATAAGGTTAAGGTAAAAAACCAGTTATATATTTTTTCATCTTACCAAAATGACTTGGGGATGGCACCACAGCACACTAGGCTGAACCTCCCTGCCTTGTGGCACCTCATGCCATGTGGAAAGCAGTTTAGGTTCCAGCTGCTCTAATTCCCATCCAGCTTCCTGCTAGTGACGTGGGAAAGTAGTGGAGGATGGCTGAGTCTTTGGGCCCCTGTCTCCACTGAGAGACCCAGAGGAAGCTCCTGGAGCCTGACTTCAGACTGGCTCAGCTCAGGTCACTGCGGCCATTTGGAGAGTGGACCACTGGATTGGAAGATCTCTCCCCTCCTCTCTATAACTCTGCCCTTAAAATAAAAATAAATCTTAAAAGAACTAAATATCCAACAGAACAAAAACTGCTAAATATTTAAGAAAAAACTTAAAATGTGAAAAGCCTTTACACAGGAAAACAATGAAATATTATTTTTGAAAGATGTATTATTTATTTTTTTAATTTGAAAGGCAGATTTACAAAGAGGAGAGAGAGAGAGAGAGAGAGAGAGATCGATCTTCCATTTGATGGCTTACTCGTCAAATGGCCACAGTTGCCAGAACTGGGCTGGTCCAAAGCCAGGATCCCTCTCTGTGTATCCCATGTGGGTGCAGGGGCCCAAGGACTTTGGTCCTCTGCTTCCTTGCCAAGCCATTAGCATGGAGCTGTACTGTAAGTGGAGCTGCTAGGAGTCAAACTGGCATGTGGGATACTGGCATTGCAGATGGAAGCTTAGCTTGCTACACCACAGCACCAGTCCCACAATGAATATTAACAGAAATGTTTGAAGATCAAATAGGGAAACATACTATGTCCATGGACTCGATGACTGGATATTATAAAGGTAACAGTTGTTCCAAAATATACTTAAAGATTCAATCTAATCTGAATCCAAATCCAAAGAAGCTTAAGTCTGTGTCGCTAGTATTATTTTGTTTTGGTAGTACTTAATAAAGTGATGCTGAAATATATAAACAATTAAAAACAATCAAAGACTCTGAACAAGATAAGAGGATTGGGCTACTGAAAATAAGCTATTGGAAAGTTATAATAACACACTGACACAAAACCATATTAATAAATACGAGGAATAGTCCAAAAAAACTAAAACAGATCTTTAGTATGTGTTTGGGCATTTGGTTTATAACCAAAAAAAAAAAAAAAAAAAAAATTCCTACAAAGCATTTTGGGCAGAACGCTAACAAACCATGTTGGGCGAAATGTACGCACATAAAAGAATAATGTAAAAGAAAATTTTGACCCCTCTTTCACACAATATTGAAGAACTCACTCTCCATGAAATTTGGGGATTAACACTGTAACATTTACCACAGAACGAAGATGCCATCACAGTTAACCAACAAGGGGTTTATATTCAGAACATACAGAATATTCTGATAGGTCAGTAAGAAAAAAATAACAATTGAAAAAATGAGTAAGAAACTTGAATGATTATGTCACAAAACATTTCACATGCCCACATGAGAAGTGCTCAACATCATCGACTTGGAAAAGCAAAATTACCCCACAGTGTGACATTACTGCAATACCACACATATGGCTAAAACTACAGAAACTGGTGGTGTGGTCAAGAAAAGCAGTGGAGCATATAGGACACAAATCAGTGCACATACAGGATCCTGGCAGATGCAAGGTGAGGATTTAGCCACTGGGCTATCACACCGGACCCCTTAGCTAGCATCTTAACACCACAGTGACTACACACTGAGCATCACTGGCCAACTCACCTCCACTTGTTTGTCATCCGTTTGCTTTACAGAAACAAGTGCAGTGGTGCAGATAATGCATTTTGCTGAGATCTTGCCCCACAGACTGATCCTTTATCTTTCTCCAGTTCTTAGCTCAAACGCTACTTCCTAAGGAAATCCTTCCTTTAGACCCCATCCACTTCTGTTCACAAGAACGCAACATCACCTTCTTGTCTTTAACAGTGCACAGACTGTTCTTGGTCTGCCCTCTACCACTTAGATCCACCCCGTGAGGGAGGCGGCTCCCAGGAGGCTGTAACGCCCTGACTCTGTCCAGCCAGCTTCTACTGGGCCCCACTGATGGAAAGCAACTGCACAAGCGAGGGAGAAGGGGTATGGAAGAGGGCAGTCAGGATGAGTGCTCCCCCACTCCTCCCTTGCTTCTCGGTCTGCGCTCCCAGGGGTGACTGCTTGTCTCCCAGTTCCTCCTCCCTGGCTCCGGTTCAGACAGTGCAGGAACACCTGAGGTAGGAACACCCACTGCTTTGCCTTGTCTAGTTTCCATAACTCTGCCTCCATCTGCCTGTCTTTTCGCTACACTCCTCATTTGAGTTATGCTGGATTCTGAACGGCCAGGCCCTCCTACAGGGACAATTTGACATTAATTCATGTGTTGATATCATCAACATCTGTCTTCTGCGAGGCTGTGCGCTTCATGACACCAGCACTTTAGAAGTTGCCAACAAATATTTGCTAAGTGATTTAGTAAGTTCATGAATAAAAGAACTGACATTTGAGTTGGAATATACGACACACAGTACAAGGATTTGTAAAATGTTCCTGCTATATTTCACACCCATGGCACCTCCCCTCTAGGCCATTTTACCTCCATTGGTTGAAGAAAGAATGAATGTTCTGGCAATCTTCATTCACAACTATAATTTTGGTTATTCTAGCATTAAGTAAGATAACCAAATTCTTAACTTTAAAGATGCTATTTTGTCTACTTGAAGTTAGGTCACCAACAAGAGTACTAACAGACACAGGTGAGATTCCAAATGAATTATAGTAGCTAAAGTTGGAACACAACAGAAATATTCAATAAAGAAAGCTGGCTCTTTATCCCTGAGTTTGTCACATCCCATTATTGCAAAGGACCCCAGGACAGAAATACAGGGATAACATGACCTAAAAGTTACCCCCAGCAGGAAATGTTCTTTGTTACAGAGACAAACCAACTATATTGTTGATCTAGTTTTAAAATTGCCTGAGCTTATCCCAGCATGTGATATGTGAGTTACTTATTAACTGCTTTTAGAAAGCTTGTACAAAACTAACCAGTACTTGCTATTTCCAAAAGGGGATCAGCAGCTACAGAAGATTTTTTTTCTCTCTTTTATGGTCAAAAAAAAAAATGCAAGACAAATCAAATTACCCACAGGCCAGCCCATGCACAGCAAGGTCTTCCAGACAGATGCCAGTGTAAGCTTTGATTTTCATTTATTGAGATTTGATTTTTAACGTTGAAAGAGCTAGCTCATAAGTAAAAGAACTACAAAATGCACAGTATACGCAGAATTTTTCTTTCACACCAGGGCATTTGGAAAGCAATTTGCCCAGAATGCAAAATCCTGGACAGTGAGAGTGTTTTGGTCCCTAGTCTAAAAAGGTGAAAATTCAAGCCTTTTCTGCATCTCTTCCTTAACTTACTTCTTCTGCTAACTTTTCTTTTAGGTGGAAAGTATTCCAATTCTAGTCATTGTAACTAACCCGGAGGGAGAAGGAAGGTATTTCTCTAGTGCCCCAAGCTTTCAGGATTACGTGTGTCATCGCATGATTAATTCATAAAAGGGAAGATCCTTCCAAAAGGCACTGTTTGGGAAGTGCGTCTAATTCTGAGGCAAACAATCCCGAATTATCGAAATGGTATGGCTGCAATTACAGTCATAATAATAACACTGGGTCCGGGAGAAGTAATCCACTTAAAACATTCAGATTGCAGTTACAGCGATGATTCTCAATGGGAGAACCAGATAACTTGTTTTGTCTTGCATCTACTTAGGTCCAACAAAAGAATTCCTTTTTCCTTACTCATTCCCTTCAGTCATAAATAATATAGGAAATGACCACATAGGCTCCTTACGTTTTTCCTGCAAACAAAAGAGCGTTTTTGTCCCAGATCTCGCTGCTGCCAGTAAAAACAACGAAGTAAAAAAAAAAATATCTAACAGCCCCCTTCTCCACACATAAAGCAGTATCTGTTTTTTAAGTGGCGGAGGGAATGTTATACTCAGCTGACACGGGATAATGCTCTCCAGAATCCCGCCTCACTCATCTCCAAGCTCAGTCACCCACTCAAGGAGCGCCCAGTGCGCGAAAGCCCCCGGAGCCCCACAAGGTCCGAAGCGCAGTCTGTCCCTGCAGCCGCCTTGCACGCGCGCCGCGGGATCGGACCTGCAGTCCGTGGGACCGGGCGGCATCTCAGGAGCCCACAGTCCCCGGCAACCCCAGCTCCCGCACCGACCCTCCCGCAGGACTGGGCCCGCCCGGGTCCTTACCCGCCAGTCCGCCGCCGCCGCCCCCATCGCCGGCGTGCCCCTTCCTCCGTTGCAGGATAAAGTAGGGGTTGGCCCTCTCGGTGATCCACAGCGCGTTGGCCAACAGCACCTCCTCGGGGTTCACCCACATGTTCCCGGCCGCCGCGGGCCGACGCACAATGGGCCGCGGGGTCGGCTCCTGCTCGCCACGGCGCGCACAGGCGCGCACTCCGGGCACACGCGCGTCCGCTTGCTAGGTGCAGTGACGGCGACAGCGGCGGCCAGCGACTTCACCAAGGTGCCCTGGTTGCCACAGAGCCCCAGCGGGTGGCCGAGGAGCACCGCGAGAACGCGAGCCCGGCGAGCAGCATCCTCTCCCCGCCAGGCGCCGCAGACGCCCAGGCCCGCAGCGCCGCAGCCGGCGCACGGCAGCGGGAGGAGGAAGAGGAGCGGGAGGAGGAGGAAGTGGTGTGGCTCAGTCCCAGGATCCGGCTCGGCAATGCAAGCGCTTCGGCTCTGTGCCCGGGGCCGGGCCGGGCAGGGCAGGGCTGGGGCGCGGCTGTTCCTCGGAGGCTCCCGAGCGCCTCCGCCTGAGGCTACTCGCAACTCCCGAAGTCACCGCACCTTAATCCGAGTACCGGGCCGCCGGCCCCGAAACCCAGCTCCGCGCAGGAAGGACGCTCCGGACACTGCGAATGAATGACGACAGCGCGGCTCAGTTGGAGCGATCCGGGGGGACCCCGAGGGTTTTGCTCGCCGAACCCGGGAGCGGAGGCTGGCCTCGGGCGAGCCTGCTGGCAACCGGGAGCCTAGCCCTCGGCCCCACGCCCATGCCAGCCCCCGGGGACGCAGCCAACCTTGCAGCGGCCGGGCGTGCTGTTTGTGTGTGTCAGGTGGACGCTGTACGGGATGGCGCCACCCCTTTCCCCAGGAAATGTGTGTTTTAAGGTTCCAGAGATGGAGCGAGCAAGGCTGTGGGTTCGGAAACGGAGACAGCCAATGGTTGGCGATGTTTTTGTTTCCAGCATCCCTAGGGCGAGTCATGCGCTAAACTTGTCCCCGCCTGTGACCCCTCCCCCTACTGGTTCCATTGTAATTAAAGTGGCCGGGCTAAGTGCGTTACATCACTTCTTTTCTTGACCTGCAGGGTATGAGCAATAGCGAAGCTGGAAGACGCCCAAAAGCTTAGACCAACTAATTCACACCACAGCTGTTCCTATGTCCGGCACTTGGAGCTGCGAGGGGCCATGGCAGAATTCAGAGATGTATCTCTCGCTGAGAAGATGAAGTACAAAAAAAAAAAAAAAAAAAAAAAAAGATTTTTTTGAACAAAATGAAATCAGAGACACACAAACGAGGCCAGCGTTTTTCCCTGGACAGTTTCATATCCCCTGCATCCTTTAAGTGTCTGGCAATCGCCTCCCGACTGTGTACCTCATGACCTTGCGTTCCCCCTGACCTGGGGGCTGATCAGCAAAACCAAGCTCCTCCTCCAGATTCTCCAGACTCTGAGAATCTGCCGGCCGCCGTCTGGTTCGGGACAGTGAACGAGCCTAGGGGCGCTTTTCTTTCCTGAAAAACAGAGTTGAGCGCTCAAATCTAGCATTCTTGCATTTTGCTGTTTGAGCGGGGAGCCCCTCCCAGACTCAGGTGCTGCCTGCGTGATTGTCTTAAGGAGGTGAGGCTGAGGAGAAGCGATTAGCTGAGAGCAGATTTGCTGAGGATTCTCGCAGCGTTTACCTGTTTGCCCTGCCTGGATCTCCCGCCACCTGAAGACACAGCAAACTGGTCCTAATCTTGAAGTTCTTAGCCCTCCAGAGCTGTGAGAAATAAATCTCAGTTGTTTGTAAGTTAACCGCCATAGGGCTGTTTTTTTGCTTTCTGTTGCAATACAGTTAGACCAAAACACTTAGTATTTTTACTGACACACCTCTGACCAGCACGCCGAATTCTGTTTTATATTCAACTAAGGGAATCCAAGATCCGCAATTTCAATGAAGTAGCTGCGGCACTTGCTGGTCTCCTAGCCTGTCAGTCTTCAAGAAATAGGCAGCTCTTCTGCCCTTTTAGGAGACAACGCAGGCTTCAGGCATTTGTAGAAACTGCATGTACATATTTTTCTTTAAAGATTTATTTATTTGTCTACTTGTTAATTTATAAGGCAGCGTAACAAAGTTAGAAGGACAGATCATCTATCCAGGAGTGGCCATAAGTGTCCAGGGCTGGGCCAGGCCGGGACAGGCCAGGCCAAACCAGGAGTTGGGAGTTACTTCCTGGTCTTCTACATAAGAATAGGGCCCCAAGCACTTGGATAATCTTCTGTTGCTTTTCCCAAGTGGATCAGCAGGCAGCTGGATCATAAGTGGAGCAGACAGGACATGAATTGTGACCTATAGGATGCCATGGTCTCTGGCAACTTTAGCTGCTAATGCCACACCCTGAAACGTAATGTATTTAAAGCAAAAATGTCATTTAACATCTTTAGTCTCAGCACAGTGACTTTAGTCACAAATGTACAATTGAAACAAGATCAGATGTATATGAAATTGTATTAATAACATTTTATAGCATGTCAACTGCTTCTATAGTTATGCTTCCACGTAATGTAATTTAGCATTTTCTTAAAATCTACAAAGGGCTCTATGAACATGCATCATTATAATGCAAGTTAATAATTTAAAAAAAAAGGCCTGAGAACAAAATTTTCTATTATCTGACTAGTGTCTATTGTTGTGTCCTTATTGTACAGACTGCTCAAACCTGTGTGGCTTGACACCACAACCTCTACCCCAACTCTAAAGTGTGAATTTAGCTTCATGTTTGTTGTGCTGGTGGGTGTCAAAGTGTTACTTAAAAATAAAATTTGTGCACCCATTCTCTCATTCATGAATTTGTTCGTTCAACATGTCGCTGTTGAGTGCTGACTATAGACTCTGGAAAGAAAAAATAAACAGAACCTACAAAAATCCCTACTTTTGTGAAAATTGAAATAAAACTCGATAATAAAAACTAAAATGTATAAAAATTTGTCTGGAGAACAAGCCTAGACTCAAAGAGGAATGAAGAAACTAAAATTCAATGCTCATTTCTCACTTGTGACATTTTTGTTAAAGATTTATTAATTTGCTGAATTGAAAAGCAGAGAGAGAAAAAGACGAATTTTCCACCCTTTGTTCACTGCCAAGTAGCTTCAACAGCCAGGGCTGGGGCTGACCAAAATTAGAAACTTCCCACTGGTTTCTCAAATGAGTGACAGGAACCCAAGACCCTGGGCCATCTTTTGCCACTTTCTCAGGTGTAGGAGATCACCCACCCCTGGATATCTGCCTGCCTAGCCCATGTGGGAGGTCATAGTCCCCAGGGGGACCCCTGACAGGAGTCTTGGCTAAGCAAGACCCCAACATGCCCGTTCACTGGGCATGTAGCAAGAGTGGTGGGCTGCACCCTAGTCTCTCTTCTCTGCCTCTGTGCTAGGACTTCCTTGGTAAACAACTCTAGGAAGTCAAATGGTATAGTCATCCTGCTTTTCAGCAGGTAATGAGTTTGCCCAGAGACATAGCTTCCTGTGCTTCATGACCTTTATCTTAATTGGAGGATCCAAAGAGACAGACATATCTATTAGCCACTCACAATGTCATTGTTGGATGGGAGTACTGTCAGAACTGCCCCTTCTGCTTGCCTCCTATCCCTTCCCTATATAAACTTGTGACTTCTCTCAAATAAAGGGACATCCCTCACCACAAATTTCTTTCTAGTCTCTACTGCAGAAGAAACACTGTCGCTTCACCACCGTTGCCCTCCACCAGCCACATGGTCTTGGGGCCTGCTGGACAGAAACCCCCCAGACTCAGGTACATTGGCAGAAAACTGGATCAACAAAGCAAGTATTCAGACTTGAAATGGTGCTGTGATAGGGATGCTGGTATCACAGGCAGCAATTTAACCCCCACTCCACAACACCAGCCCCAAGATCTGTTTCTAAATCCTTAGCGGTAAGAGAGATAGAGCATATTTTTATCCGTGGACTAAGCTAATACTGAACCAAGTTGAAACAAGATCCTTGGTTTCAGTCTGACTGTCCTACAAGAATTTGTAGACCTGCTGCTTCCCAGGGTTTGCATTCACAGGAAGCTGGAGAGGGAAGCAAAGCTGGAAGTTGAATCTAGGATCTTGGGTATGGGACTTGTGTGTCCTGGGCAACATTCTGTCGTCTGTGCCAGGTGCCTACTTTAGTTGGAGCCATTTTGATGACTAGACTAAATGCATGCTCCTTACGGTAACATTTTAACAAAGACTGACTTTTTTAGTTGAATTGGAACTTCTTGTGTCCATTGAGGTACAGGAGAAGGGTAACCAGTTGGGATAATAGAGTGTAAATTTGTTTTGAAGATCCAAGACTTTGCAGTAGCTTTGATATTTGATACAGGCTTCTTTATGGTGGATCCTCTTGCTAAACTAGCTGGAAAAACTAGATGAACCAGTCTCCACAAGGTTAACTCTGCAAGTAATAGGACCAAACTTCTTTTAGTTTCAGGTGCTTGAACATATTTGGTCTCAGTTTTATACGTGGTGAACCTGGGGGAAAACCATTTCGCAAAATATAGTGCAGACCTGTAACAGTACTAGCTTGTATTTTCCCTTCCAATCAATCCACTTTGAATTCTGAGATGTTCTGAAAATGTTAAAATGAATCCTAGATAAAGTATTTTTTCTTTTCATGTTGGATGCACTGTGGGCAGCTGATCTACGTCAAATGCACCTATGTTCTTGAAATGGGGAAAGAAAGAAGACAGCAGTTATTGAAGGTGGTGGAGCTGGTGTGGGGGGAACCAAAGTATCCACACAAACTTGTTTTCATAGTGACCTAGTTGCAATTAAAGGAACAAGTTCTAAAGTTTACGAGAGACTGGTTAAAAAGAAAGACTTTTGAGCACAGGCCGGGGTAGGGAGAACACTACCTCCTTTAGAATTGTCTCTTGCAAGTTGGCTGAAGCCAAGATCATTGTTCTGTCCTTGGGCTCTAGCACTGGTGAACGCCCTGTGGGGGTGTTTGCATAGCTGTTGGATTTCTGAACTCGATCTTAGAGAGTTCAGAAGGCAGGGTCCTAAGAGACTCTTCAATGTAGTTATGCTCAGCACCTTGTTTCATATGTTAGGAAAATGAGGCCCAGAGAATAGAAGGGATAGGACTAGAATGGCTTGGTTAGTTCACAGCAGAATCTGAAGTTTGGTCTTTTTGCTTGAAAGACTAACATGGCCCCAAGTCCTACTTTTCCTGCTTTCTCCACACAATGTCCACTTTTTCTCAAGAGCTAAATCAATTTGATACTGTGATGAGTCAATGGATATTGTTTACCATTGATGTCTGGAAGCTGGAATGCATCTGACAGTTTGAGTCCCATGCCTGCCTGGTGAGGTGGCAGGGGCAGAGGGATGTGGTCAACAGGGTAAACCATTAGAGTAAGGGAACACCATAACAGACAAGTCTATCAAAGTGTATACTATACAACCTGGTACTGGCAGGTTGTTTTTCCATGACTCGTCATTGTAATTTGATATAGTATAATATAGTATATTTATTTTGCTTTTTTGGAGCTAACCTGCTAAACCTGGTTGATCAATTTTGATCATTAAGTTAGGAGAAAAACTATATATTTTTTTCAACAAAGGAAAAATATTAGTGGTAGAACTGGGACCAGTAACCTTCAGAGAACTTGGATACCTTTCTCCATCTCTCTCTCCTCTCTTATCTCTCTCCACTCTTTCTCTGTATCCCATTCTCTCTGCACATTGTTGTAGCATCTTCTTGCACTGACTGGGCTCTCTGCTAACCCACACTTTCTGTTCCCTCATAATTGGAGCACATATCTGGCCCATAATGGCCTCTCTAGCCCCTTCTCTACTATTGCTTTAATTATATAGCTTTTCCCTTCTAT